AACCCTATGTGTGACTGGACCAAAGTCACCCAGTGAACATCCATTGCAGATTGTAGTCTGATATTCTAACCACCACACCATACTGGCTTTCATGTTGTTGTGGGGCCTGGTAAGTCATGCAAGTTGGGTGGTACCAACTTGTATAGCAGTTGCTGCTAAGCCCAACGAGCCCTCCTTCAAAGGCCAAAACAGCCTTGGAAAAGGCCCTGATCCACCTCTGCCTTTTTGTGACAGAAACCAAGGCTTGTAATAATGTGTAGCGATGGTAACTGAGGGCATCTGTTTCTTAAATCTACGGCACTCCTTTTATCAATTGGAGGAGTTAACCCCCTAATAGATTATATTTTTCTGCAAACCTGGGGGCTTTTCCTGTTCCTGACCCAAATCTTTTGATTTAAGTGTTCGTAGACGGAGCCACATTGAGAATTAGATATATTGATGACTATTTTGAGGAATCCCAGTTTCACTTCCATTTGCAACTGAATGCAGAAAAGGAATGACTGGCCCAGTGCAAAGATGTCCTAACATGAGAGTGAGTATTGAGAAAAAGAAGACTTCACTTAAGGCCAATGATATTTCACTTCCAGACAACCAGAAGGCTTTTTCTTCTCTGAAGTATCAGTAGTCATAGTGCCAGTGCCCACTTATTTTAATAATCAAATACGACAGCTTGCTTCTGAAAAACATACCTTGGGTTTAGCTGCATGTTTTTTCACTTTTCCCTAAATTCCTTAAATTTTATCATCTCATAAACATAGTGAAAGTCATTTCACAGCCTATTAAACTAGGGAAACAAACTAAGGCCCCGGTCACATGGGGGAAATTGGGGCAGCCAAAGTGCGGCTTTTTAGAGCCGCACCAAAAGAGACGCATGGCGGCGGGACCAGACAGATCCCCTGAGCCGCCACGCAGTTGCTCCCCAGCACGATCAGATGCCGGGGGGGGGGAAGCCACGGAAGGGAGAGCGAGGCAGCCGGCTGCGCATGTGTGCGCATGTGCAGTTCGGCCGGGAGCCTTGAATGCTGCTGAAGACGGGTGTGCTGGCGATCCCACGGCCGCACTTGCTGCAGTGTTTCAGGTTGGTACTACTCTTTCCTAAGTTTTTTTAAAATGCGCGTTTTTGGGCTGAAGGGATGGATCAGGGACGGGTGCGCGCTGCTTCCCAGATGTTGCAGTGTGGTCACGCCCGTTTGCTGCGCCTCCGATCCATTCCTCTTGCGGGGCAAAACCTCCCGTGTGACCAGGGCTTAAGATATATTTCCACAAGTGGGTAAAATGAGACACAGAGAAACAGACTCTGCAGTCCATCAAGGAAGGCCATGTAGACTTCTACTTGCACAGCTGATGCACATGCAGATTTGCATCTCTGTCCCCATTTTGGTTAAAGGGCTTGAGTTGGTAGTGGCTATACAGCTTCAGACAATCTTGGAGTTGATTGGTTATCTAGGCCCATTTCAATCTAGTTTCATGCTGGGGTTTGGGACAGAAACAGCCTCAGTTACCATGACTGAAGAACTTTAATGGGAAAGTGACCGGGGGAGTGCATCCCTGCTGATTCTCCTGGACTTCTCAGCAGCTTTTGATGACATTGACCATGGTATCCTTCTGGATAGTTACTGGGTTGGAAGTGGGGGGCACTGTGCTTCAGTCATTCTGTTCTTATTTGACCAGCTGATTCCAGAAGGTGGTGATGGGGAGTTCTGCTCAGTCCCATGATATTCAGGCTACAGGATCCACAGGGATCCATCTTTTCTTCCATGCTGTTTAACGTCTACATGAATGCTAGGGGGGGTCATCAGGGGATTTGGAGTTAGGTGTCATCACTATATGAATGACATCCATCTCTATCTGTCCTTAGCAGCTGAGTGAAGTGTATCTCTGGAAGTCTTGAACATGTACCTGGCGAAGATAATGGGATAGATGAGTGGCAGTACACTGAAGCGCATTGTAGACAAGACTGAGATGCTGTTGGTCGATTATAAAGATGCTCAAGGACTGAGGTGTCAGCCTGTACTGGAGGGGTTGCATGCCCCCTGAAGTACCAGCTTTGTAGACCTGGGGGTGTACTACTGCATCCTAGTTTATGGTTAGAGATGCGGGTCTCCTCCATGGCATGTAGAGCTTTTTATCGGCTTTGGATGATATGCCAGCTACAGCCATTCCTCAAGAAAGAATGTTCCGGGCATGGTGATCCATGCTCTGATCACATTCAGCTTAGATTACTCTAAAAATACTCTGTGTTGAGGATGCCTTTGAAAATGGTCCAAAAGCTTTGGCTTTTCTGGCTGCCACATTTTGGACGACTGTCAGGAGCAGGATACAGGGATCATTCCGGTCCTGAACGATCTATATTGGGTGGCCATCTCTTTCCAGGCACAATTCAAAGTGCTGGTTCCTACCTTTAAGGCCCTTTAAGGCTTGGGACCTAGGAACCGGAAACGCGATCAGACGCCCGCCCTTGCCCCGTGGTTTCCGGAAACTAGTACCTCGGAGGTACTAGTTTTTAAAGCCACATCTTTAGCGGGAAGCTTCGGGTTCACCACGGGAGCTCTACGCTTCCCAGATGTTGCGGTGTTATCGCGCCCGGAAAACCTGCCTATCTTCTGTCTCTGTAACGTGGCTAATGCTTCATGTGACCGCAGCCTTTATTGTGTTTTATGTTTTTATTCTGTTACATATTGTAAACTGCCTCGAACAGATTTTCTAGAGACAGCATAGAAATTTTGCTAAATAAATCTGCCCATTATGTCATTAATTCATGCCAGGTGCATCTTTTGATATGCATGAATATGTATATGCTCATTTGCAGCCACAAGCCTTACAACAGGGGTGTAGCCTCTGGATGCAGAAGAGTGCAGACTGTCCGATCCGATCTAATTTATTGCGGCAAGAGCCAGTAAAACAGTACAATTCTGATATAAGAAGGATTAAAACAGTAATAACATGGGAATAGTATAAAAACATTAACAAGAGAAAGTTAATAAAATTAGTAAAATAAAATAACGTTAATAAGAGAATCATACAATTTTTTCAGCTAAAATAAGTTTACGTTTCCTAATAGCTAAGCAACAAAATTTTGCCACAGCGTAAGTCACTGAGCTCTGAACATCTTCTAAGAGGAATTTACGAAGAACTTCTGGCCTAAAGTCAAGATAAAACTGCAGAGGGCTAAATCTAGACAAAAGCTGTAGTATAAGATGGTCTCGTTCCTCCTGATAGAATCTGCAGAATAGGAGGACATGAGTAATTGATTCCACCATATTAGCCATGCATGGGCATATACGTTCATGCATTGGAACTTGAGTGAATTTACCTTGCAGTACAGCAGAAGGGAGTGCCTCAAAACAGGCTCTGGAAAAGGCCCATCTATAGGGTTCATAAGTAATGTTAACTAAATAAGGGGCAACAGTAAAATTAAGCCAAGGTTTTATGTTTCTGAAGTACTTAGGTAGCAAAGCTTCTTCATTTTGTGATTCAATATCACAAAGCCTCTGTGTGACAGCTGTTCTTGCCTTGTATAGGCTTCCATAGAAGAGATCTTCTGAGAATAGGCCAATCTGATTTAATTTATTAAGAATTTGTGTGGACCAGGCAGGGTAAGGGTCCGAGGCTAAAAGGTAAGGTGTTAAATCCTTCGGGTTGTAATGAACTTTTAGCCAGAGTGTTATAGCCTGCTCCCTAACCTTTGCTTCGACTCTGAGTAGCCCAGCCTCTTGCCTAAGTGTTACATTAGAAGTGCTTCTAGGAACGTCAAATAGAGAAATTTAGATTGAACCCTTTCAAGGGTCTTTAGATTGGCAGAAAGTCCAATTTGTGAGCCATACAGGAGTTGAGCCAATGATTTTGCCTGGAAGGTTCGTAAGGCCATGGGGAGAAAACCTGAGTGCAGAGTGTGTGGAAAGCAAAGGAGGGAAGCCAGACTGCCCTTCTGGGGAACTTGAACCTTAAGTCACAGGGCTCTTAACACCTTTGTTTAAGGTAACGATGGCTGCAGTCAGACAACAGGCTTGGTGCTGTCTGGCCACACCTCTAATTTCTCCAGTACTATTTGTTCTGGAGAGTTTTGACCAGACACACCACCCTAATCCTCCCTTACCCCATGGCTGACTGATCAGACTACTGCTGCGCATTCACTACAGAGTGGGTGAGTGGGCCAGCTTCCTTTAAATAAAAAAAAAAAGAGTCTACTTTGCACATGTGCAGAACCGCTCATTCACCATGGGCAAATATGCACATATAAATGTGGGAGGCAATGGCGGTCAGGGAGCGGGCTTTAGCATGCAATGGAGACATCAGACGTTTGGAAATGCGTGCTGAGAACAATTCAGTCCATCAATACTGGACTTCCTCTGGTGTCAGAAAAGTTGGGGGTGAGAACGGGGGTCCAATGACTGGGCAATGGGAGACAGATGTTGCTGTCTGGACACGCACGTTAAGTCTAGTAGGGAGAAGTGACGACACTGGATCAAACAGCTTGTCCGATGGCAGGCTATGGTTTATGAATGGAGACTGGTAAGGGATGGAGACTTCTGTACCAAATCGCATATTTAAAATTTAGAATTATTGTTTCAGGGCTGTGTTATCTAATGGGGAGTTCGTCTAGGACCTTCATCTTGGGAGCCAGTGCACAGAGTGCTCGGCTGGAGGCTTCTTGGGCCACCAACAAGAGGAAAGAGACGGACTTTGGGGATGAGAAGCTGTGAAGGAGGGAGAAATTGTTTGGACTTTAAAATATCACTGTTCTGTTGTGCTATTAAGATCTATGTTTCGTTACATGATATGATGTTAAGTGAAAAGTAAAAATGTTTTACTCCCTTTGAATTATTGCAAGATTCATTCCAAGTTCTGCCCCACAGAACTTCCAAGCTGAGATTACACTTGCAGCAAAGGCCAAATAAAACCACCTCTAATTCAAGTCAGAGACACCAATCTGGTTCCTTAATTTAATTTTATTTTCCTATAGACACTCATGCATAGATTATCCATATATGACTACTCACGTTTGAAGAGACTTTTTTCCAGACACCAAAGTCACTGTCAGTAGTTGCTTGAGCACTTCGGAAGGTGCATGGCAGGGTGGCACTACTTCCTCTAGCCACTTCCACTTTTTTCTGGGGTGTTTCCACGTCAAGTGACACAACAGCTGCCACAACTTGGGGGGGGGGGGAGAGAAGGAGGAAGAAGAGGACAAAATCACTTTTGGCCTTCGTCACCTGAATGGGAAAACTAGCATACACTGAGAGCCAAACTAGACAATGCATATGACACAGGTCAGGTCTCCTGACCTGATTTGCAGATATACATGACATCAAGGAACTAACATTCCCAAACACAAACACAGTGGAGCCAGATTCAGCTCAGGAGCACAGCATGGTGGTGGAGGGACTTCAGCCTTCCCTCCTGCACTGCTTTCCCAAGCTCAAACTGCTGCAGATGTCCTGTGTTCACCTGGTGCTCCACATGCTGGGGTCCCCTGCAGACATTTCAGTCTGGCAAAACAGTGCAGGAAGGGAGGCTGAAACCCCTTCTCTCTCCACACTGCACTCCCAAGCCAAATTAGGCCCTGGTACAATTGGGAATGTTAGTTTCCCAACATTATGTATATCTGCAAGTCGAATCAGGAGTTGCCTCATCCCAACATGTTGCATGTTATCATCTGGTTTATCCTTTAATCAACCATAAGGTACCATTTATTTATTTATTTAGAAAATGTATCTGCCATATCTCGAGAAGCTTGCTCATCATGGCTTTCTCTCACAGCACTACCATAAATCACTTCACCTCAGACAAATGCCTTGGAAAAATATTGTTGCCATATTCCTAACCAATTTCTCACCTCAGACTGGCACCACTAGGCCAGTCTTGTTAGTGACATAGCTGTTGAGATAAAAATTGACTTAGATTTCAGCATTTCCCAGAAGCCAGAGAGTGCTGGAAACTTTAATTTTAAAGGGAAGTTCACAGAATTTTAGTATTTCAAATTCTGCGTCTGTGGATAAGATAGCACATGCACTTACAGAATGGCACAGTATAGAGGAGTACAGGATTATCTAATGTTTTGTTTCATTTGTGAGATTTCCCTTTCTTCTCAGTTATACTCAGGGCCAATGGTCCCTCTAAGCTGTGGAGTCTTGTGACCAAAAATTCTACTTTGTGAGCTACTGGCATTAAAGTTGTGAGTGAGCGATTTGGCTACTACATAAATTAGTTTGCTCTGGAGCCATCCTTCCTGAGCTAAGAGAGCAATGTGTGAGCCAGAAGCTAAAAAACTGTGAGCTAGCTCACACTAACTCAGCTTAGAGGGAACACTGCTCAGGACTTTTCCTCTGGGGGGAATGCACCAGAACAGAGTTCTGGAGCCTCTTTGACAAAATTCTTTTTAAAAGTGTTTAAAAGTTCATGAGTTTTCAGCAGGGGTCATTTGCTGCAGGAGCGCACAGGAGCGGAGCTCCGGCAGTAAAGAGCCCAGGGGGTAGGCACATGCAACAAGCCTTGCCCCCTGCTCCCAGCAGCCCCGAGCCACAAGGAGCAAGAAGCAGCCAGGTAAGTTGCAGAGCCCACCCCCCCGATAGCAACCCAAAACAGCACACATGCACCTTTAAAACCAAGGTTTATTCAGGTACAAGCTCTCCCTCCACTGCGAGGGCAGATCTATGCATCCCCCCCCCCCCATAGCTAGCAATCCAAAAAAGTCCAGTGGAGCCTGAGTGGTGAGTGTTGCCTTCTGACACAAATAAGTTATGCTAATGAGTTATGCTAATGAGCTCCTGCACCTCTTTTTCTATGAAATGACCCCTGGCTTTCAGTATACAGATTGAAAACTTCATTTCCCTCTTGAGAGTTCCGGCACCTCCTTTTCAAAAAAAAAAAAGGGGGGGGGAATCCCTGGTTATACTCTGTTTTTTTCTGTTTTACATGAGAAGCGAGGAAGGATTCATTGACTCATGACAATAAAGCATTTAGTGCTCTAGAAGGAAGTAACTTCATGAAGACAAAGTCCTCAGATCATTATGTGTTTACTGGTACCACTCCCAAATAGCTCTTAATGCAGTGTGCATTTCATTTTTTTATGTGGCGGGCTTCCACCTGCCATACTGCACCCAATTTACACATGTACAGGCATGTCTTTTCACATTGCTGAAGAACACAGCAGAGTTCCTGGATGGTCATTATACCTGGACAAAATCTTTGCTTGTTGAGGCATGGCTTATATTCCTGTCAGCTCCTGAGCAGCAGGAAGTGAGCAAGAGTGCCCACAAGGCTTCTGTTTCTTGCCGTGTACCTTATTATTATCGGAGGTAGTTCAATTGTTGTGCCTGAGAAACTGGTTCCTCCAGGCTTGAGTTCATAATCAGGTCATAAAATGAGCCTTCAGAGAGAGAGAGAGGGAATGCGGCCCAGCCTCTCTAGAGAAAGTGCAAACATTCATTGGAGAATTTTTATCCAGAAATTTAGCGCGCGCGGGGGGGGGGGAGCTGCCTTCAAAATATCGCCTGTACACCAAGAGCCTATCAGAAACCAGTATTAATTCTGTCACCAAGGTAACCTCGGAGTCTTCTTTCCTCCTCCCATCTAACTAGGGATTTAGCTGAAATAAAGGCAAGCAGTCAGACCACTGTAGAGTGGCTCAATGGCATGTTTTCCTTGCTCATTGTTTTTAGGTTTTTCTTAGCAAAGACGGCGTAATTAAAAACAAGGAACAATAACAAGACTAAGGCTGTAATCCTGTAAACACTTACTAGTAAATTTTCATTGAGTACACTCAGTTTATATTACAATGCTGATGTCATTCCTACCATAATTCTGATGGATCCTGGAGCATACCAGATTACACTGCCCCATCATGTTCACAAGACTCTTCGCTTCAAATGAACACCTGGACTTCCCACCCAGCCTCCAGTGCCACGTCCTCAAAAGGTCACTTAGCAATGGTCTTAAAAAGTGGCAAAACCACAAAAATATATCCCACAAGAAAGCTTTATTGTAGACCAACCCAATTCCATCCAAAAAGATTATTTTCAAGTAGGGTTGCCAAACTTCCACCGGTGGCAGGATATCTCCTGGAATCAGAACTTATCTCCAGGCAATAGAGATCAGTTCACCTGGAGAAAATGGCCACTTTGGAAGGTGGACTCTATGGCACTCTACCCTTCCCGACCTTCCCAGGCTCCACCCCCAGAGCTGGCAACCCTATTTTCAAGGGTAAAAAAGTGGCCACATAGAAGCAGAAGAAGCCGTTGGATTTATACCCCGCCCTTCACCACCCAAAGGTGTCTCATAGCAGCTTACAAACTCCTTTCCCTTCCCCTCCCCACAACAGACACCCTGTGAGGTAGGTGGGGCTGAGAGAGCTCTTGACAGAAACTGCTCTTTTTCAAGGATAGCTCTTCTCAGAACTACGGCTTGCCCAAGGTCATCCAGCCAGGTGCAAGTGGAGGAGTGGGTAATCAAACCCGGTTCTCCCAGATTAGAGCCCGCACACCTAACTACTACACCAAACTGGCTTATTCTCTCAAACAAGTTACTTATAAAGGAGCTATGGCAGTGTATGTGAGCTCTTTAACTTACTTGTGAATAAGCTCTCTGGTTTACCAGGGAAGAACTGAAGCATTATTTTTGCTGCCTCCCCTTCACAGAAGTGAGACTAGGAGAGCCTATTGGGATGAGTTGATAGAAGGATGGGACTGCTGTTAGCTGACATCCTCCTACAGGCCTGCTTAACACTGAAAATAAAATTTGAAGATTTTGAAAGGGTTTTTTTTATGTTGAATGGAACATAACTGGATAGCAGCCAGTTGTACTAGCACAAATATTTATGGTCAAAGGGTTAGTATGACATATAGAACACATGCATATAGAAGCCTCCAAGTGATGTAATATGGGAAGAAAAAGACGGAGCTCTTCCGCCAGGCTTTCGAATAGGAGCCGCCCAGGGGTCTTGTTGTAGAAAAAGAGCTGCCGGAGCTCATTAGCATAACTCATTAGCATAACTTATTTGCATATGCCACGCCCCCTGACATCACCGGAAGTGACAGAAGGCCACACCCCCTGACATCACCGGAAGTGTGTCAGAAGGCCCGGCTACTTACCCTCCTGCTTCATCCTCATTCCCAAACGGAATGAGGATCGAAGCAGAGGGCGGGGTAAAGAAGGGGGCGGGGCTTCACCACGTGACCGCCCCGCCCCCTAGAGGTTCTCTTCCGGAGCTCCGTACCTGAGAGCTCCCCCCCGACTAGAGCCCTGGAGCCGCCGCCGCCGCCACCAGCACCACCAACGGGTGACTGCAAAGCAGTACTGCTGGGTTAGGCTGACTGGCCACCTGAACATCGGGGCCATAGCATCCCCCTCTCTGACTCAATGTGATGTGCAATAGGGAGTGAGTATGTTAGTCGCGATGGATCCTTGGGAGTTGCCCACTGTGCTTAACTGTGTTTAAATTGTTTTAACTGTATTTTATCGCACTGTGTGCCTTAATTGTTTTAACTGTGGTGTTGTATTACACCTGTGTTTTGTAAGCCACCCTGAACCCGCGTGCGGGGAGGGTGGGATATAAATGCAATTAAATAAATAAATAATAAAAAGGGGAAAGTGAAATGTTGGGGCATTTATATTTCAAATCTGGATTTTGGTTGTAGGATGTGGACCTCACCAGGAGGGGAGGAGTTGGAGGAGCTGAACCTTGACTTGGAGGTGACATTACAGGATGTGACATCACATCCCAGTGGAGGTCATTTCCCAAACTCTGCCCTTCTAAGCCACCTCCCACAAATCTCCAGGAATTTTCCAAGCTGGAGTGGGCAACCCTAGTTTGTAGGGTTGGCTAGCTTGGCAAGCAGTGGGAGGCTGGGGATTTAGGCACTTGGGAGGAACAGCTATCAGTGACTGCGGGCGATTTCGCACTAGAGCTGCCTCGTGGCGCAGCCGCCGTTTGCCCCGACACTATTTGTCAATTTCACACCCGAGGCTGCGGGGCTGCATTTGACCCGCAGCTTCGCCCAATTTCCTCCGCAGTTTCATGATCCTCAAAACCCAGGATCACGAAACTGCGGAGGAAATCGGGCGAAGCCGCGAGTCAAAATGCAGCCCCGCAGCTTCGGGTGTGAAATCGACATGTTTGTGTCGGGGCAAACGGCGGCTGTGCCGCGAGGCAGCTCTAGTGCGAAATCGCGCATAATGACATTGCTTCCAGGAAAAACTCAGAAGTGACACCATGCCTCTCTAGAAATTGCTATAAACCATAGAGTTTCCAGTAATTCCTAGAAAGGCATGGCATCACTTCTGGGTTTCCCCCAGAAGTAACCACATGCCTTCATCCCAATCGCCATTTTTAAAAACATTTTTGAAACTAGAGGCAGGGGTGAGGGGTCCACTGTCCCTAGTGTGGTAATCTGTGTGAATTTCAACCTGTACATTTCAGGGCCTCCTGCTGAGCTGACACCTTTGCCCCGGGGGTCCTGCCCTAACCTCACCCATAGCTTCTAGTGGCTAAGTTAATGTAGTGCTTTCCTCACCTGCTCAAACTAGAGGCATTAATTTTATTTATTTGTGCACTCTTATTCCTTTCTGGATCATGAAGCATCTTAAAGAATATCAACACTGCAAAAACCAACAAAACGATAAAAGGTAAAAGTTTCCCTTGCTCAAAAACAAACAAACAAATAAATAAATATAAAAGCCAGTCAAATCTGACTCTAGGGGGCGGTGCTCATCTTCATTTCCAAGCTGAAGAGCCAGCGCTGTCCAAAAACATTTCCGTGGTCATGTGGCTGGCATGACTAAACGCCAAGGTGCACGAAATGCTGTTACCTTCCCACTGAAGCAGTACCTATTTATCTACTTGCAATTTCTTGCTTTCAAACTGCTAGGCTGGCAGGAGCTGGGGCCAGAGATGGGAGCTCACTCCGTCACGCGCACTCGGGTCTCGAACTCCCAAGCTACTGACCTTCCAGTCTGCAGCTAAGCATCTTATTTAGTTAAAGTCATGAAAATACCAACAGAAATGTTTTTAAGAAAAGCCAGGAAAATCACAGAAGTTTAAATTCTAAGATTTAAAAAAATAGAGAACAAAATAAAAGCAGGTGGAAAGGGGCCTTATTTTTACAGGCACCTCAATTAGCTCATCAGTAGCTGAGCAGAATGAAATATCTAATATAGAAGAGGAGAATGGAAGGGAGGAATTCCATAAATTACACAGCCAAACATGTCCTCCCTCTCGTTGATGCCTGCCTTACTTCAGATATTTTTATTCATTTGTTTATTATTTCACTATGTTTATAGTTCACCTTTCTCATTGAGAGTTAAGGTGGATTACATCGTGTAAGTCAACGTGATCAAAAGGATGAGACATCTAATAAACTATGTACTTGCATTAGGGTTAGAGAAATCTGAAAACAAGTGTAGAATGTTAGATATGATTCAGCATGCACATATAAAGCAGAGAAATTGTATGACATCATTAGAATATGTGCTTACTGCTTGGAGGACAGGCGAATGGGGAAGACAAGTCTATAATTGTTAGAATACGGAGTTAAAATGGTTGACTTTGGGAAGGTTCTACCAACACATTTCCTTTTCAAAAAGCCACAGAGATGAAGGTGGGTCTGCCAACCTCGACGAGGGGCCTCCCAGGATTACACCAGATCTCCAGACTATAGAGATACATTTCCTCTGATGGAAACGGCAGCTTCGGAGGCCGGACTCTGTGGCAGCTTCATTCCTACTACAGCTCCCTCCCCTCCTCAAATGCTGCTGTCCCCAAGCACACACACACACCCAATTTCCAGGAATTTCCCAAGCTGGAGTTGGCAACCCTAGATGAAGGGCTCTCAGGTTCCCAAGGCAGCAGAGTGCTGAGCTTTCCAAAGCAGCTGGTTGAAGATCTGACTACAAATAATGTGAAAACATACATATCAGCGACCCAGTACTTTGGGAGGAAACCATTTTGAGCAGTGAAATTGAGGAGGAAAGGTACTTAACAAAGTTGGCCCTTCCAACTGGCTTTCCTTCCCAATACAGGATTTTAAAAAGCGGGGGTGGGGGGGGGTGAGTGCTTATTCCTTGAAGCTGTCCCTTTGGAAGCAAGATTTCTGTGGTGTGAGAAAAAAATTGTGTGTATCTGCTACACCTGCCCTATTAGCAATAAAAGGGCACCCCATTCCCTCTGCTCTTTCTCTTTGTGCAAAATATTCTCCTTCTCAAATGCTTTTCAAGAAACTTTGCTATATGTATTTGCACAGTGTTAGACCTGGAGTATGCTAGCTGCCTAGGTGGAGCACACAGAAACTGGTTTTTGCGAGTTTGAGGATCAGGCAGGGGAATGTGGTGCTAGAGCACTGGACAGACATGTAACTCTCACAACAACCTAACACTAATAAAACCCTTTTAATAAAAATCATAGAAGGAAATCCATCATCAAGAGAGTCAACAGGAGGCAATTTTATTACTGAATGTCATCTGAAATCAGTAACTGGCTGAACAACGGTGAATGCATTGAAATTCAGTTCAGAAAAGATGAAACTGTTTATAGTAGAAGCCCTAGAACTGGAGAAGTGATGGAAATGCTTTTCTTAGCTAGGGGCCAAAATATCAGATTCATCATATGGAAGTGGTCTTGGATCCAGACTCTGGGCCACGTAGGAACAGAAGACTTTCACCACTGTGGTGAATTCTCTTGTAACTCTTGCTTGGACTACTGTATTGCACTTAAAACAGACCTGCCCTAGAGATACAATTATTCTAGAACAAGGCAGCCTTATTAATTCCTAATGTTAGCTGCAGAGAGCACATGACACCAATTTTTATGAGCTTCATTGGTTGCCAGTGGTGGTCCCTGACCACTCGGAAGAACTCCACATTGCAGATGCAATGGTGGCAGAAAAATACTGTTTCTTCACTGCCATCGCTACTATGAAGTAGGCTTTAAAATGAGCTATAGCCCATGCCTTGTCAGATTTGTCCCGAGTATTTCTCCACTGTTGCTCAGGATTCCCAGGCTCCCCGGCCCCTCTTTCCCATCACTGCTCCCGCAGGTAACAGGAAGAAGAAAAAATATTTTATTTATTGACATTATTTATAGTCCACCTTTATCACTGGGACTCAAGGTGGATTACAATAACCAGTGCATTAGGATATTAGAAGTCTGGAACCACCAGAAAGAAACAGAAGCATAGCGTTAAGTATTAACATGACATATTCAACTATAGAGAAATTACATAATAGGATCCTACTTACAATGTGCTATAAAAAGCAGTATAGACCACAAGTCTCAATCATTTATCCAAGTAAGTTTGTGAACCGTTTTGTATGGTTCACCTTATTACCTGCGCAGAAAGGCCCTCTTGAATACTAGTTCAGTTTTGCATAGTTTGTAGAAGGCCAGGAGAGTGGGGCGTTTCCTGACCTCCTCAGGCAGGCCATTCCACAAGGTGGGAGCCACAACGGAGAAAGCACAGGTGTACAGGCAGTTGTTGATTTTGCCCATTTGCAGGTTGGCAGCTGCAGAAGCCCCTGCTAATGTGAGTGAAGTTGTTGTGGCAGAGCATAGGGAGAAAGTGCACCCCTTACATCCCCTTGCACGTCTCCTGGTTGCCACACACACATTTTTGCGGGTTACCCTGCTGTCACTCTAGCTTCCTCCCTTATTTTTAATCACCCACAGCCCCTCAATAAACTAAAGAGCTGTCCAGGCTCTTAGATCGGAGAGGGCACCTAGGAGTGATGTCAGTTGCCCAAGTAATTTCCTTATTCCAGAGGTCAACCAAGGCCTTGACAGAAGTCCCAACCATTTCAGCAGCAAAATCACCAGGATTTCTCCAAGAAGTGATGTCATGCCATCAGCAATGGCTGCCACCCATGTCTCTGCCCCCCCCCCATCTCCCACTGGTTGCGAGGCCTGGCAACCCTACTTCAGATGAACAGTCCAGCACCGCAGGAGCACACTGTGGTAACAAACAGCACCTAAGGGTATCATTTAAAAGGCACATTAAGCATTCACAAAATGGTAAAGCCTTCGGTAAGGATGTGTTGCTGGTCACTGGCATGTCTTGGGTACTGTCAAATAGATGCTCCTGCATCCACATAGTATGCAGCATTTGCAAAGTCAAACTAAGTCCCAGTGAGAACAGCAGATTATAAATGAAGTAAAATAAAATATTGTTATTTGAAAGAAAATGAAATATTCAGTTACAGATGCCTGGAAAACTGAACCATGCATGAATAACAATGCATATACTGTGCTATGAGTCCATGAGATATTTGTACAAAGAGAGTTCACAAAGACTGCAATTTAATGACAGAGCAACCGATTTCCCTACCCTTCACTGACAGGTGTACTACTAATAAGGAAACAATAGTACTCACCCATACTGAGCATGAACAGCTCAGCCCCCTTATTTGCTCTCATGATGTTTCCTGAACTTCTCCAAGGGTTTTTTAAGGGTTGCCAGATATCCAGAGGACTGAAATTTTAACTGACGTTTGAGGGAAGCACAACCTAATTCACAGTCACAGCTGAATTCTGTCTCTACACTTTCTTCCACTACCTGTTTTCTCTGCTTCCTTATCCTTTTATCTTGGTTCTCCCTCCCACCCCCTTCTGATTAGAGTGACAGGCTGTGTCACCACTCAGGTCATAGTCTTGTCTCTCTCCCCCTCCCAAAAGGAAAGACTTGTGCCCGCTCTCATTCACCCTACCCTCACCTAAGTAAACATACCACCCTTCCTGATCTCTCCTGACAGACAGGTACACAAGGAAGCAAAAAGGCATCACAAAAGTCCAGGTGAATGCGCTGGCGGAAATGCTGTCAGAGGGATGTTGCAATAAGGAGGCACTGGGGCTGCTCCAGGTGCTTCTATTTTATGGAGATAGTTAAACCAGTGAGCTGTTTACTCGTAGCCATTACAGAAATCAGAACATTTTTCTTACTGCTGGGGCATTATCCCTAGTATCCTGGTCTAATTTCTATTCATGCTGCTAACCTGCATGTTATGTTCTTTTTTGCTGTAGTATTCTTGTTTATTCAGCGCTGCGGTTATGTTGTGTGCTATTGAATACTTACTCCACCCACTGTGCTACAATTTTCTGTCTAGGGTACTTTTATAAATAAAGCTTAGTGAATTGTTGTGTTTCTGGTGCCCTGTCCTCACTCTAATCTCCACAGACCAGCACAAACAGGGGCCAAAGGCACACGTTCCCTCAGGCACACTTGCGGGAGCCCCCAGTCTAATGTTTCGTTCCAGGGGAGGTGGTCATGGTAGTCTGCTGCAGCCAAAATAAATTAAAGCCTTGTGACACCTTAAAGACTAAAGGTGCTGCTGTGGCAGTAATTAACATGAGCTAGATCCTGCTGTGTCAGATGCATGAAAGTACATTCAGCTGGCCGACAGAATTATACCCAAAGCTACTAACAGTACAAAGGCAGGGAGAATTATTACAAAAAGACAGTCTGTTGTTATATATATACACACACATTTCTAATTTACTGATAGTAACAACTAGAAAGCTGAAATTGACACATATATTTTATTTGTTTTATCCTACATTTTGGGTAAAAAATGCTCTCAAAGGGTTTTACAAGAAGAATAAAATCTATATTGCAAATATGATTAAAATGTGTAAAAATACACATCAAAACTTAAAAAAGAACTAAAACAGCCTACATCACAGCATTCACACTGTTGTCTCCCCCCTCCACTATTCTCCAGTTGCATGGGCAATGGAGGGTAGGAATGGGAGTTTGCCTGCTGGCAGGCAAATGGTAAGCCTGCCCTGTTCAGTTTGGAACCAGCATCCCTTAAGGACTGCCTGCTCCCGTATGAACCTATCCATCTGCTACAATCATCTTCAAAGGCCCCACTTCAGATGCCCCGCCTTCTGACATTAAGTGGGTGGTAAACCAAGACAGGGCCTTCTTGGTCATGGCATCAAAATTATGGCTCCCTCTCCAGGGACATTTGTCTGTCCTGTTGTCATCATCTTCCACCATCAGGTGAAGAATTTTTGTCTCATCTGGTGCTTCCTCAGTGATCCCCTCCTTCCTGCCCTTTGTTTTAAGTGCTGCCTCTACATTTTTGCATATGTATTTTAGTTTGGGTTTTAACTGGTTTTATTGTATAATATTATAATGCTGCGTTTTAATTGTTAGCCACCTTGATGACCTTGATTGGGCAGAAAGGCAGGATATAAGTTTTGGAAATAAATAAAATAATTGCTGGAGATCAAACTAATATTAAATGAAAGGTAGAGGGACCTAAAAGTTGGCAACTATATCAAAGTTGGCAACTATATAAAAAAATCCCTGCACCAACTCACCAGTAACAAAATGAAAAGTCATCATTGACCCACAGCCATAATTCACAAGCCTAGTGGATGCAGGCCAAATTGCATTAAAAATAAATGGAAAGATGGCTGGATGCAGCATGACGTTGGCTTTAAGGGCCCTCTAGCTGACTTGGGCCCCCGAATTTTGTCCCCTCAGTCCCCCTCTATTGGCAGCCCTGCTATTTGTCTGTGCGTTTATTCTCATGTCACAGTCAACGCATGTACAGCTGAATGTGTAATACAAGCAGTGTTCCCTCTAAGCTGAGTTAGTGTGAGCTAGCTCACAGTTTTTTAGCCTCCGGCTCACACAGTTTTTTAAATCAGGAAGGATGGCTCCAGAGCAAACTAATTTATGCAGTAGCCAAATCACTCACTCACAACTTTAATGCCAGTAGCTCACAAAGCAGAATTTTTGCTCACAAGACTCCACAGCTTAGAGGGACTTTGAATACAAGCCCCACTTTTATCCAGGTACTGGTCCCTGAATTAATTCATAAAATGTTGGCTGTTTCTTACACACAGATGTATGCACATACAGGTAGGATGTATGTGCATTCACTGTAACATATGAACAGGGCTAGTAGCATTCAGGAATGAACCCATGTTTGCCATGCTACTAGTTATCATTTATATAGATAAACTAAGGTTTCCCTGTTGGTCTCTAGGGCTGCCATTCCACAGTTCCAAGTGGGGGATCCCTCAGTTTTGGCGGCTTCTGCCCACTGCCAGCTAGCAGGGAAACCCCACCCCCAACAGTGACATCACCACACGACATCCCCGATGCACTGACATCATGCAGAAGGGACATCATTGCATCAGGGACGTCACGTGGCAACACTCTGGTTTTGGAGCAAAACTCTATAGTTTGGTGCCAATTTTACCATAGAGTTTTGCCCAAAAATCAGAGCGTCGCTGTGTGACATCCCCGATTCAAAGAAGTCACTTCTGCATGACGTCAGCACGTTGCATTGCTCTGCCCCACTCCCGGAAAGCTCCTTCCCACCCACCACCAGCAGAGACATCAGACCTGGCAATTCTATCTGTCTCACTCAGTCGACCATCTTCCATTTGTTCTCACCATTTTAGGAATTTTGGTAAATGAGATAAAATATAGAATGCAGACAAGCCAGATATTAACTCTAAATCGGTGCTGAAAAGTGAAGAGTTTTGGGTCAAGGAAAGAAGCAAAACCACTTATCCAAAGAAAATATACATTGTTACAATTACTTCCACAACAGATTGAAAGCTGAAGCTTAGTAGTGATATAGTTGAAGACATCCTGATTGCAAGGAAGGAAGAACACAGGACACTTATAGCAGTCCAGTGGTCAAATTTAGGACAATGAGAGGCCCCGTGGTGGCAAGGAGCACGCAGATCCAAGCTTCAGCAACTCTACCAACACCCTGAGGGTCACTTAGCTTGGACCTTCAATGGCAATGATACTTGGCGTCGACTCACCAGTTTCCTCCTCTTGCACTGCCACCAGCTTGCAGCAGAAAGGAATGAGTGAGCAAGCACTCGTTGCTAGTTCAGCTGAGCTGAAAGGACCTGCATCACTAGCTTATTTTGCAGCAAGGGCCATTCAGTTTTGGCTTGTTCCAGGGCCATTTTAACTCACCAGTCCAACCCTGATATTTATGCTTGCACACTGTATGGTGTAATTAGGGGCTGAATTCAGATATTAACTAATGAATAATCTCCATTTTTAAGTAGCAGTGTGGTGTAGTATTTAAAGTGTCAGAGTAGGGCTACAGAGACCTAAATTCAGATCCTCACAGCCATGAAGCTCTTTGAGTGACAATGGACTGTAGTTACTCACTCTCAGCCTAACAGGGTTACTATGAGAATGAAAATGGAGGAGGAAATAACCATGTAAATAATCCTGAGCTCCACAGAGGAAAGCTAGGAGGGAAAAATATGATAGGTGACTGTAATAAGGATCTAATAACTAATGTGAAATTTAAAACATGATGATGGTTTCTGAAATCTTTGGATCAGTTCATAATTCTGGTATATGGATCTATCAGAGTTTATAGGTGGTGGAGGTATTAATATTGCAGATATGTAACTGGTAAGGATGTTTCCAGCCAGCAGAATGATGTGGATTTAGCCACAGAAGAAGATTACACTGTAAGGTCTGTCTTTCCAAAGTGTTTACACCAATCATATTGATGACTAGCTTTAATTCCATAATATAATCAGTACCTCCTGTTTTCTCAGTCCATTCTGTTCTTAAGAGCTATTCTGTTAACCACAAGGGCTAACTTTTTCATCTTAGCATACAGGTAGCACTGAAATGGGGGGGGGGAGGCAAATGCTATGTGATGGGGCAGACAGAACATAAGAACATAAGAACATAAGAGACGCCAATGTTGGATCAGGCCAAAGGCCCATCCAGTCCAACACTCTGTGTCACACAGTGGCCAGAAATACCAGTGCCATCAGGAGGTCCAGCAGTGGGGCCAGGACATTAGAAGCCCTCCCACTGTTGACCCCCCCCAACGAAATGTTTGGCTAGAATTGCACACTAGGGAGGGGGTTTAGAGGGAAAAGCTACACTTCACTGTTCCCTGGATGTCAAGCAGGAGGGATGCCTTACAGGGCACTCATAAGAAAGTGTAACCTGATTTTTGGCAGGGCAGGAGAAAGCTGGAAAGTCCCTGCTCCTCCCCCCACATCCGCCTCCCCTTTGAAATTGCAATTCCAGTGTTTTTGTTCGGTTTTTAAAAGGACAGCTAAAAGCATCATGGAACTACAGGTAACAGGTACTTCTGCCCTTAATTAAAGGAAAAGGAGAAAAAACTTGGACACCTCTGTTACAGAATGGGCAAAGGGGTCATATGGTGTTTGCAAGCTCCACTCTCTTCTGATGCTTGCATGCCCAGTACAGAAATGACTGTGTTTCTGCTAAATGTGGTACCTGACCAGGGGCTATATTATTTGCGCCCACTCTGCCATGCTGCCCATTTTCCCAGGTTGTCAAATGCTTCCTTGTTCCTGCTCTGCAAGCAAGAATTTAAGTGCCTGTAAAATGGGAACAGTTTCTTCGATCTGTCTGAAATTTGGCAGACAGGCTCCCTTGGGCAAAGGGTGTGACTGCAGACAATTGCATCTCTCTTGGAAGGAACTGTAGCAAGAAATGTTTCCTGTGAAATGAATGGAAACAAACAAAAAAAACCCCAATGGTAGCTTTAATAAAACATTAATGACACAGAATCAGTTTTAAAATAAGCCAATATA